GGGCAGCACGTCATGACCCACCTCCTGGCTTCCTGGTTGGCTAGGAAGCCGGCTTCACTTGTTCCTAGGCAGCCTGGCTTCCTCACCAATCAGGAAGCCGGAAGCGGGTCATAACTGTTGGCGCTATATAAATCCTGTATAATAATAACCCACCGCCCAGCTTCCTGATTGGAAAGAAAGCTGGCTCCATGCTCCCTCGGCACTTGTGGTCAGAGGGAGATACTTCTCTGACCGGAAAGTCTGGTATCGGAGCATTTGTACAAGTACTCACCCAAATACTCGGTATCGGCACCGATACTAGTATCTGGCATCGGTGCATCCCTAACTAATACCAATGTACAAATAATTCTATTCTTTTGTCCCATAATGTCTATAGGCCATGGGCTCCAATTTATAAATTCCAGCCGTTTTTTAAACCGCATAATCTCATTGAGCTAGAAAATGTACCATGGCTTTTGCCACCAAAGTATCAGAGCTGATCCTGCAATTGCATATATATCTAAGGATGTAAAAGTCTATGAGCAATGCATGCTATGCTAGATATATCATGGTTTAGGCCACCAAAGTATCAGAGTTGAGCCTGTGGTTACATGTATAGTATATACAACAATGTAGATATATCCATTGCTTCATTGTTGTACAAGCCTTGCTTTAAATTCCTAAGGCTTATATGGCAAAAAAGCAATGAGCATGCCTGCATGTTTAAATGGACACTATGTAAATCTTCCTTCTTTGATTTATCTAGATCAGCGGTGCCCATTATGTCGATCGCGATCTACCAGTGATCGCATAGCGATCACTGGTAGATCGCAATGTCCTGGGGCTTCTCCTCTGGATCCCTGCTGCTCTCCCCATCTATATGCAGCGGGGCTCCGAGGAGAAGTGAATGAAGCGCTGCAGCTGGTGGCGGAGGAGGCAGCCTCTGTTACAGAACTAAGGCCGAGTAGTGAGGAGAGAGAGAGATGCTCGGCCAGGATCTGGCAGCCGGCGCCTCTCTCTCCCCTCATTGCTCGGCCTTAGTTCTGTGACTCCCTCTTCTGCTGCCCCCGTGGCTGCAAACCACGGTCTGCTATTTAGGGACCCCCTGCTATGGATAATAACCTTATTACAAAAAGCAATAGACAAATCCAAATGTATTAGTAAATAGCCAAAATTTCTAAAGCCAATGAAAAAAAAGAACTGTGCCTTATGGTTAAATAACGTTATACACAATAAATATCAGTGTTTCATTAATACTAGGGATGCACCGATACTGGTTTTCTAGTATCGAGTACGAGTAACGATATATTTTTTTTCCGGTACTCTCCAGTACTGGTGCCGTGTGCCCAGGTGATCAGGAAGTCGGATCATGACCCGCCAGCCTAGCAACAAGTGAAGCCGGCTTCCTAGCCAATCAGGAAGCCGGCTTCCTAGCCAATCAGGAAGCTGGGCAGCACGTCATGACCCACCTCCTGGCTTCCTGGTTGGCTAGGAAGCCGGCTTCACTTGTTCCTAGGCAGCCTGGCTTCCTCACCAATCAGGAAGCCGGAAGCGGGTCATAACTGTTGGCGCTATATAAATCCTGTATAATAATAACCCACCGCCCAGCTTCCTGATTGGAAAGAAAGCTGGCTCCATGCTCCCTCGGCACTTGTGGTCAGAGGGAGATACTTCTCTGACCGGAAAGTCTGGTATCGGAGCATTTGTACAAGTACTCACCCAAATACTCGGTATCGGCACCGATACTAGTATCTGGCATCGGTGCATCCCTAACTAATACCAATGTACAAATAATTCTATTCTTTTGTCCCATAATGTCTATAGGCCATGGGCTCCAATTTATAAATTCCAGCCGTTTTTTAAACCGCATAATCTCATTGAGCTAGAAAATGTACCATGGCTTTTGCCACCAAAGTATCAGAGCTGATCCTGCAATTGCATATATATCTAAGGATGTAAAAGTCTATGAT